AATATTTTTAAATCTTAAAGTTGTCAGTGGGACTAAATTTGTTACTTTTCTCTTTCACTGAAGCCCAAAATTTCACTTTTAGCAGTTTGAAAACAGAGCAGAAAGGACCAGACTTAATCAGCAAAATAGTAAAAAACTGTGATACATCCTCAAGTTAAGTAATTAGAGTTGTCCTTTAATGTAAATATGGCAGTTAATGGTGAACCAATGGCCAATAAGTCAACACTCCTCGACCCCATGGCTGTGTTTCACTGGGTTGCTAGGCAGCAGAAGTGCAGCAACCTCATACAAAGTGTCACTGCCAGAGCTACGCACTTCAGTATGTCAGGTTGTGATTGTAGGTTAATGACATATCAGGAATTCATTGTATTATTATTATTATTATTATTATTATTATTATTAATAATAATAATATAAATTATAAGCAGATGAATGTGAAAGAGCAGAATAAAAAATATCTATAAATCTGTCTTTCTGTTTTTTTTTCAGAGTTTTCTGCACTGGTCAAGTCTTCATAAATCATGTGTGATCCCTACGTGGTGGTGGTAATCTCAGGGTGGACCTCTTTTTATAATGTTTACTAGCTGCAGTAAATAACATGGATTCGTAAATGTTAAAATTAACAAAATATGTTGTAGATTTAATAGAAAGTAATGTACAGTAATAAAGTAATTAAAGATAAGCACAAATTAAATCCATCCTCTGTCCTATGTGTCTTTCCCTGCCAGAAAAGTGTAAAAAAATAAATTCTTTTCTCCATGAGATGGTCATAGTTTTTTCCAGGTTATGTCCAGAAAGACTTGTCAACAGATGAGCAGAATTCTCTCGTGTGCCTCATGTTATGATGTTATAGCGAGCACTGGGAGAGGTCCAGCCTGTGCAAGAGGCTTTGGTTTCTCCAATTAACAACATGAGCAACTTTCCACTGTGCAAATGAAGTGTTTGACATTCTGGCAAACTCAGTTTGACACCTTAGATGGGGTAATTCGGTGTAAATTATGTTTACACTTAGACAACATGTACAGAACATTTAACCCATTTTCTTTGAAATGGTCAGTTGAAAGATTATTTTAATATTCACAACCATAAAATCAAATAAACTTAGACTTTGCTCATGGTGGCTTAATATAATGTTAAACAAGCTAATCATGTTTCTCTTACCCTCTCTCTCTTACCTTGCTGTCACCTTTCCAAAAAAATGCATGACATTCAATCTGCAGTTTGCACACAGCTAATAGGCAGCATAAATCTCCAGCTGAATATGCAGTATGTCGCCATGTCCCTCTTGTGTTTCACTCAAAGACTGCATCTGACTGTGTCTTTGCCAGAGTGGATCTTCAGTCTCAGTCTGTGGACAACATTCACAAACTTACAAGTAAAAGTCCTGCATTAAAATGTTGCTGAAGTAAAAGTTATTCAGCATGACTTATTTCAGAATAATGAATTAGAAGTAAATTACAATGATTTATAAATTCATGTAATAAAACCTCACTTTAATGTTGGTAAAGGTGGAGATACTTTTGATTAGTTGTAGTAGCTTGTGAATTTCCCCCCTCTTATGCTAATCTATAATAATACATCATAACTTGTAACTTAAAAAAATAAATGTATTTGCCTCTGAACTCTAGTGGAGTGGAAGTATAAAGTAGCAGAAATTGGAAATACTCAAAACTGTACTTAAACACAGTACTTAAATTTAGTTTCTTTCCACCACTGGTCACTGGTTTCCAGAACTAGATCATAACTTTAAAAAAGCATATCTTATATTCAATGGATATGGATGGAAACTGTGATAATTACTTTTTTATATATGTCATTCAAAAGACATTCATTGTAATACTCATGTGATCTACTTAAAGTTCCCCATAAATATGTATAAAGTACAGAAGTATTGCAAAATAGTTTTTGTCATTACTATATTATTATGTTATTGAGTCTTTTTTACTGAAGCACTAACCTATGTTGATGAAGTTGGCTCAGATGGAAGTTATTTTAACTGCTTCTTTATACTTTTATTTACAGCTATTAAATAAATGTAGCAATGTATATGTGTAAGTAAAACATTTCCTTCAAACTGTGGTGGAGTGGCGTAATGTAGCATACTGAAATCAAGTAAGTACCTTGAAATTGTACTTACAGTCAGTTCATATAGGGACAAAATACCACCAACTTCCTTTTGAAGATGTCTTGTATTACACTTCCAGGGAAACAGTTTACGTTAATCTTGTTGTCAGCAAATCGCATCAGGACAGGATTCCCTGGATCAATACCAGTCACTGTGCAGCTTTTTGGCACCCTGGTCTTAAAACCACTAGAGCCCATAAATGCTTATTGGTCTGAGGGGGGTACAGGTAGGACACAGTTGGACCAGAGGCAGCTCTGGCAGACAGAGAAGTAGCTCTGTGATGGGGTGATGGGAGGACTGGGTGTCTGGCAGAGATTCAGCGGTAGCTGGTCCGAGGTGAGGAGTACTTGCAGTGACCCAGCAGAGGAACTCTGGGAGGGGATAGAGTTTCTGTGCCAGCACATTTACAGGACTTCTGTCAATGAAGCACATTTATTTGCAACTTTCTCTCAGATGGCAAGCCACAGTGCCCGAGAATATAGGTCACTTCTATGGTCACTTCTATTTCTGCTGCAGCATGATGGAACAAACTCCTGCTCTCAGGTGAAACATGGAGAAACCTAGTTCATTTGTAATCATAACTAGAGCAAAATCAATATCTGCAGCTTCCAGCTGCTTAGCATGACAGTAAAGGGTTCTCATGCAGTTGCTGATATCTTAAAATGAAGCCTTAATGAAATCTCAATGTGTTTACCAGTCCAACATGCTCACTTAAATATGGGAAATTAAGGTGTGGCTTTCTAAATAGCCCACAAATTTATCATAAATGTACATTTCAAGCATAAAGTTCAGAATATGATGGGGGATCATCCGTCACCATCTCAAATTACAGACGGTAAAAGCCTCGCTTCATGGGTTTCATCCCTGCTGTGAGATATTTGTAATTTTATACCTGATATTGAAGAAGGGCAGGAATAGTTACAGTATCTATGGCCGAGTCGTTTGAGGTGAGAGACCTCATTTGACCACAGCAAATGTTAAAGGCCAAAGATCAGTTTTACAGAGCTTTTCAGAAGATTGGAATTAAAGAAGCAGTGGAGCAAAACAAATATATATATGTACTATAAGTACCCTTTGTGGATGCTAAGACATCACACACAGAAATAAAGGAAGTGACTAATTATACAACATATTTAGGATTTATGAAGAGATTAAGAGATGCAGAACTGAAGCTGTGGTTCAAGTGAGAATAAATAATATGAATTTATGTCATTAGTAAAGGTTATATGATTAATTGTACCAACAATTTAATTGAGCTTATATTTCAATATTAACTCTATTATGATATTAGTCACAGGATCATGTCAACACTGCCACCTGATGTACAATAGGCACATAACAGTCTGTAACCGAGAGAGCAAATATGGAGTAGCTCCTCATTTCATTCCATTGTTCGGTGCAATGTGACAACTCTGTGTCATTACGCAACTGAAGTGATGATTATGATAATGGTAACGATGTTGATGATATCAGTTTTCGATGTTTCCTGAAATAGCAGCACAAATAGTTTCATCACCATAAGGAGAAATGGTCTGAATGGGTGTAAGAGGACCAAAAATATAAGCTGGCTAACGGTCCTCGGCTGCATGATGACGATGTATCAATCTCCAATCAAACCCTTCTCATCTTTGGCACTGGAGCTCATAGTGTGATCTTAAACCTTTATTATCTTGTTTCTTATGATCATATTACCCTATTCCATTTTACACCAAAATGCATTAATGCATTGAGAGAGAGCCATCCAAACTGATCCACTTACGGGGAAAAAATTAGGTGAAAATGAATCTGTGGTACATATTTGCAACATTTAAGCCAAAATATGCAGAAGAAGACACAAGAAGCCATGAATGCTATTTATTCTTTAAAATAATAAGAAAACCCCCATAGAAATGTAGCTATAGACCTATACTTTATTTTGTTTATGAGCATGCAAGAACAGAGAAATGTTAGTTATTGGACGAACACCTGTTGCAATCTGTGTTAAAATCAAAAGATAAGAAGATAACAAAGAAAGAAGTCTTTAAAAAATGTACAGCTGGCAACAATCAATCACAACAACTAGACTTTTCTGACACTGGAATGCCAGCAAAGTCATTGCAGACATTTCACGCATGCCAATTACACACAGGCTCGTTTTCGCCAAAACTGTGGCGTAGGGTAATTAATTACCATATGTGATTGTGGTGTAAAGGTACAGGGTGGCTTGTGCTATAATCACAAACAATTACAATTAAAATGTTTGTAATGGTTGTTGTTTCTTTTTTTGTTTTGTTTTATTAAAGCAGTCTCTTAGTAATACTTTAGAAGGGAGGTTTATTAGGATGCCAATGTAAACTGACATTTAAATTACAACCATCGCAATAAATATAAAATGTAAAAGTCATATTAGAAAGTTTGGGTCTGGCATAATACAAACCTTTACATCACTCATGAGAAAAGTCTTGGAAACAAAGTTTAACATTCTGATATTCTGACACAGTCTTAGGTTCATAACAACAGCATCAACAGCTTTAATAAACAAACCTGTATGATACCAGAATAAGTAGCTGTAATAACTTACACTATAGAAACCAGCCTTATAATCTACAACAAAAGTTTACCTCATTCTTTTCTCCATGGAGCTGTGCACAGTTTAACAGATCAAAACTACATGGCCACAGAGTAGGTTTCACCCAAATCAGCAGCGTATATTATTAGCCCTATGCAATATCAAGCACTTTTGCATAGGCCTACACTTAGCCTACCATTTAAGCATCTTCATTTATGTGCATATAAATAGAACAGCTCTGTCTACTGGACACATTTTTCGACCGACTGCTTTGACTGCTTTGCACACAGTGTCTATTACATAGCCTATGCATCATATTTCGGGAGAGTGAAGGTATATAAGCTAGCGAGAGTCTCTGAGGGGTTCACTGCAGTGAGCAGATTCTTCTGAGCGAATCCACTCTAGTCTTAGAGATAACCCCAAGGTGAGTTTCACTGAGGAGCTGCAGACCTTTAGGCACTACTGCCTGACTCAAAGAGGGGTTCAGGGCTTCAACTTCATGCAATGGGATATAAATCGAGGAAAGGGGCAGATTCTGAACATCAAGCTCAGAGTTTGGCTTTGGACTAACTAAGGAACCAAATGGGGGAAAAAATCTATTTGCCAACCAAACACAGCTGCAAAGGATATTTGATCTTATGCCTTGGAGGGCTTGGTTTTGGAAAAATTGGACTACCTTTTCTGATCATTTGTGCCTTGTCTTTTGGGGATGCAGAGAGGAATACTCACAGAGAGGAACTGTAAAATTTATTGAAATTTATTGCATGGCATAATAAAGGTTAGATGTAGCTATTTAACTTTGAATGCTGTATTGTAAAGTGCAGCGAGGGAACTTAACACAGTTTAGATTCAAAGTAAAACTGCTTCATCCTGTCTGATTTGCTACAGCTGAACTGGTGAACTGATGACTTGACTCTTCTCTCCTCCCTCAGTTAAAAATGGCATTCGCTGGAATTCTGAGTGAAGCTGACATCACTGCAGCCCTCGCGGCTTGCCAAGGTAAATTCCGACCACAAATATGACACAGCATGCAGTATTACAACTTAGGAGATGGAAGCTACACATGCACAGAATCACGCACTAGAAAAAGGACCTGGATTCTTTACTCTTTACTCATTTGTAGCTGAATGAGACTCAAGACAGAACCACATCACCACATTATAGTCACAGCCAGCTAGAAGGGGCCAAACCTTGCATCTTTCCTGGGACTGGTCAATAGTGCAGCAGGCATGCAGACTTTAATGTAATTTCCATATGTCTTAGCAGAAAGCATGTGTTCTACTTTGTATCAGTATACCTACTGAAGAAAAACTGCTCTGCAAATAAGGTGGAGGCAGAGATATTCAAATCTTTTTCTCAAGTAAAAGTAACAATACAACACTGTAGAAATACTACTACTTTATATACTGCTGGATACCTTAATCTATAATAATACATCACAATACATGTTGTATTAATAATCTGAATCTGAAAAGAAACTGGTAACTAAAGGGTAACCAAAGCTGTCAAATGGATGGAGTAAAAAGTACAATATTTGCCTCAGCAAAACAGTGTGTTATATATCTACAAAGTCTTATACTTCGTGTCTCTGTGTCTCCTCACAGCTGCCGACTCTTTCAAGTACAAGGATTTCTTTGCTAAGGTCGGCCTGACTGCCAAGTCCCCCGAGGACATCAAGAAGGCCTTTGCCATCATTGACCAGGACAAGAGTGGCTTCATTGAGGAGGATGAGCTGAAGTAAGCACCACCTCTCAGACTGCACCTCAAGCTTTTCTGAGTCCTTTGTAGCATAAGGATTATCTTTCTTTGGACCACAGTGAATTGTCAGAGCCCCAAAGCTTACCTGACGACTGGATGCCAGCTCTCTCCTCTGGTATAGGGTGACATAGAGCAGAGGAGAAAACAGAACAGACATAGCCACCTTAGAATTTAAATACAAGAGTTAAATACAAGGAAAATAATTTTCTGAGCTTCAAAATTGCTTATCAATAATGCAAAATACACTGTGATCTTGCAGAAGAAATATTCTAAAGGCATATTTACTGCAATGCTCAGTATTTCTCTCTGGTCCTACTCTCCAGGCTGTTCCTGCAGAACTTCTCTGCCAGTGCCAGAGCTCTGACCGATGCTGAGACCAAGGTGTTCCTCAAGGCCGGTGACTCTGATGGCGACGGAATGATCGGAGCTGATGGTGAGAAAAAAAATCTTTACTTTTACTGCATGAGGGCCCAGTTTTTGGAGGCTTCAGATAAATCTGCAGACATCTTGAAATCTCAAAAACCTTCTCCCTCTTTGTCTCCCTGCAGAGTTTGCTGCCTTGGTCAAGGGTTAAATGAATAAGCTGACCAACATCTTACTTCACTACTCTAAAGGAACAACTTGAGCCAAGACATACTCCTCCTCTCTTCTCCTCTTCCCTCTCACTCTCTCTCTCTTTAACTTCCCCTACCACTTTTATACACCTTTCACCCCCTCCTCCCTCCCCTCCTGACCCCCACTGCACACAAACTGCTACCCCCCCTCCTCTCACTCTCTCTCTCTCTCTGACCGTGCTCACCCCTTTGCTGTCCACAATGAATGTACCTGACTAAGTGTATAGCGTGGTTGACTTGTGTCTTTCTCTCTCTCTCTCACTTCTGTCGTCGTTTTACTATGTGAGTTTTGCTTACCGTGAGATCAAATGATGCACTTTTATGGGAAACGGACGGACGATGAGAAAACAATAAAGGTTCTTTTTCAATAACAGAAGTCTGACCCTGGTCTTCAGTATGACTGTAAAAGAGCTGAAAGAAAGTCATAAAGGATAGTTTTGACAGTTAAAGGTAACATACCAACAGTCTAGGAATTGGTCTTAACTATTAGTTTTTACACTAAACAAGATTATTTACATGATTGGTCTGGGATAGGAAACACATTTTACATAAATCTGACTAGTTTATTAGATAAATCCACAAAATTATCACATTAGAGCAAGTGATTTAACTGTGTCTTTTAAGGAAACTTAAAATGCAAATCCTTTCACCTAAAGCTTGATCATGTAAAGTGACAGTGATACTAAATGCAAAACATTCAGCTAAAATCTCATGTAACAGCAGCACATGTGAGGAAGAGTCATAAAGTCAGCAAAATGACTCAGTAATGTAGTAATACAGCAATAGATACCTGATGTATAGCTCAGCCATTCTCAACCAGTGGGCTGCCATCTGGTGGGCCCTGGAGGCAGTTGTACTGTCAAATGGTTAGATTCAATTCATAAAACTAGTTATTTTTATATCTAAATGTGCTCAAGAAATAATAATAATAATAATTAATAAAACATGTCAAATTAAAATGCATAATTTCAATGAAAACTTGAAAATCACCATTCATGACACATCATCCAGTATCAGGATGATGGTGGACATGAGTGTCTGTGACTGTGCCAAATGTCATGGCAATCAATAACAGTTGTCCAGACATTTCATTTGAAACCACATGCTTATCTCAAAGTCCGAGGATCACCAAAGTCAGTAGGATTCACCCTCTGGGAACGATGAATGTCTGTAAACAAATTTGAGCCAATCCATTGCTCAGATGTTCAAATGACTCTGACTTGCTGATGGTGCTACAGGTCAGGGGCTCACCAAAGTTTTTACATGTAATCCTTAAGGGGACAGAAATCTCATAACAATCTGTCCAAAAGTTGTTCAGAGATTTAAGTCTGGTCCAAGGTGGTGGAGCGACAGATCAACAGTGCCATCCCAGACGTGCCACTATGGCTACAAATACACAACTTAAACAAGTAAACCCCCAAATTCATTGTAATTACAATATGTTAAGGACATTTCTTCTCATTAAATTGCTTAAAGACAAACATGTTTATCTATTGACTGATCTAGTCATTACCATATAGCCTATGTGTAATCAGGAGTATATTCTGTCCCTCTTATGACGAGAGACCTTTCCTTTCATCATCAGTGTGACCTTTCATTGAGATCTAAAAAGTAGATGTTTCTCAGATTAGTTTACAACTACTACGACTTTTTTTTTTTTACTTTTCTCTGAGAAATTCAGCATGAGTGAAGTAACTTATAATAATATAAAGATGGGACAGGACAGCGAAATAAGAACAGACAAGAGGAAAATGAGAAAGGCGTGAATAATTACCTTGGTCTAGAACTAAAACCCTGGCTATGTAAAAATTCACAGGACAAGTTTCCATAGAGATTTAGTAGACTCTCAAACAGACCATCCTTCTCATTACACAACACTTGTGTGTGTTAATTGTGCAGCTGCTTTGATCTTTCACGTCATGTTGCTATGGGAGGGCAGGAGAGGACAGGACAGAGTGTTCTTGAGACTGACAGGCCTCTCATCTCCCAGCAGCCTCTGCTCTCAAGCTCCCTGTCCTGACAAACTGTTGTGGTGGCCTGCAAGCTGTTAAATCGAGATGCTTTACTTTTGCCTGTGTTTTTATTTCATTTAAATAGGGTTAGGTTAGGGATTTATTGTCTGTGCAAGTAGGTAAGAGCCAGAGGTTTGCCTAGTTTCTTCCACAAGGCACCAGCAAGACTGTGCTTCCTGTGCTCCTTCTTGCGTTGCCTGTGTCTGTCTTATGCTAGAAGCAATGCAACTATAGTTAGACTAATAATGTGACTTGACTGATATTGTTCTTTTATTAAATAAAAGCACCGCACTGCAGTGGCCAAATTTTTTTTCTGTTTTGGCCCAAACCATGTATGTTTTATGTTAACTCTCCAAAGGTTTTAGTAAGTTTGATTTCTTTCCTTCTAGAAAGTCTGTAGTTTATGTCAATGCAGTATCAATGTACTGGTAGCAACTTAATGAATAGATATGCAATCCATTTCACTGAACATTATAACACATCCTTAAAAAGTTCCAGCAGGGAGAGTTTTTAGGATTATTATATAGTATCACACAATTATGGTGTAACCATGAGAAATAATAATAATAACAAAGAAAACAAATAGTTCACTGTGAGGGTTTATTTATTTAAAGCAAGCTGAAGTCGATTTTAGTACAACAACTGTCTACGCCCAAGGAAACTAACAGCATACTTTGGAAAATGGTCTGCAAATATGGAAAATATGTGTAACAAAACATGCCCGCCCCAAACATCTAAGTGTTTTAGTAATAACTGATACAGACCTACAAAACCCATGTTTTGCAATGATGCATTTTTCAGTCAAAGATCCCAGAGTTTAAAATATGTACAGTGGGTTACCAAGCGTGAAAGAGCTGCTAATATGGAAATGATTGTGTTAGTCTGGAGATTTCTGCAGAGGTTAAAGAAAAGAAACTGAGGGAAAATACTTTTCCTTTTGTTTCTGGCTTTAAAAAGGTCAAAGTTAATTTGATCAGTGGTTTTAAAATGTCATGGAACTCACATTGGTTGAACCCAAACATTAGAGGTACAGGTCTTGAATTACCATTTATGGCAACATAGAGATGACTTTTGTCTTTTGACATTTTGGGCAATTACACTCACTTTCATTCAGTTTCTTTCTTTTACTCACTCACCCCTTCCTGCGTGCCCTCCTTACCCATTTCTGTCTCTCGGTACAGGTGACAGGACATCCAGATGGATGTCCAGCTGGTTGCAGACAAAATAAATGGCCCCACAACGCAGAGGGGGGCCCTGCGTCAGTTCTCATTGCAATCCTTCAACCTCTCTACTCATCATGGTCTCCCACACATCTACAAATTTCCCTTTGTCAGCGTGCGGCCTACATTGCGTCAGACAGAACAGGTCATGGGAATCCTAAAATGTTTTATCACAACAACACCAGCCATTAGACACAGTGGGATGTTTTTTGTAGAAATCACTGCTACTCCCATTTCTCAGTCTCCATCCAAGAGTGGCAGTATTATGACAGTGTACTCGGAATTAACACGAGGATTATGGATTTAACAGCAGTGTTGTCACAGACTGTGTAAAAGTTTGTTGCACAGATTTTGGATTTAGTCCATCAGGGAAATGGTATTATTTTATTAAAAAAAGATTCTAAATTTGTTTGTTATCTTTGTTTTAAGGTCCATGCAAAGTCTACTCAGGTTTACACAGTTTGGAACAAAGCTATCTGACTGACTTTATGCAAATATTAACGATAATCAATTATTCATAAGTAGTCATATATTGTAAATTGTGGTGCGTTTTCTCCTTTATATTATGTATTTACGTTATTTTCTCTATTCATAATAAGTTAACAAAAACTACAAGACCCAGTTTTTTTTGGTTTTCGTCAAGTTTGCCAGAGAAAACCAGACCACCTAAACCTTTTGCTTTCAGAATAAACCATCTAAATTAACTTTTCAAAAGAAGTCAGAATCAGTCAGAAATACTTTATTGATTCCCGGGGGGAAATTTGTTTGTTACAGTTGTTCTACTCACACATGTTAAAGAATATAAATAATATTTATATTACAATATCTAACACAATATACAGAATAGAAATGTATGTAAAGGTATATGCATAGAAGTAAAAGTAAAAATAAAAATGGAATTAGAAATGGAGCCTTAGAGATATAATAAGATAATAAGAGCCTATATAGAGTAAGTAAATGTAAACATATTCCACAGTATGTGCTGACAGAAATGAAATAGTAATGAATTTAAGATTGTGGTGTTGTAGAAGTTATAGATAATTACGAGGAAGAATTGAATAATTAGAAGAATAGCATAATAAAGTGTGTTGCACATTGACTCAGGTATTACACATTAATCAATTTATTGCACATTAACAGCACCAGTTTAATGACTAATGAGAGTTTTGACACTCTGAGGGAGGAGGTGTACATTTTGATGGCCACAGGCAGGAATGACTTCCTGTGCCGCTCTGTGGTGCATCTCTGAGTCTTGCACTGAAAGAACTCCTGTGTTTGACCAGTTCATTGTGGAGGGGGTGGGTGACATTGTCCAAGATGGCATGACGCTTGGACAAATCCGGTTGTTAAGCAATCCTTCTGAAATATATATTTAACTTGGGTACTTTGTAGAAATAGGACTGAATGCTACTTTTTGATTTGCAGAAACTTTTTTTTTATCAGACAACTGATGACTGATATTATGGTCTACATTTGAACCAGTAATTAGGCTAAATTACTGCAAATAGTATGAAACTGAAATTAGTTACTTGTAGCAGTAGATGTGCAAAGGACAGGTCAACCAAGAAGCATAATTAAATCATTTTCTGAAACAATAATAAGTTCCATACTTAATGGGGGTTAGGTTTTCTACAGAAACAGCCCACATAACAAAGGTACAGCCTGTTTAAATATCTATACATTCATGTATTTACACAATTGATGTTGAGGCTTGGCAGCAATGAGCACACATAGCTTTTATTTTGAAAGTACCTCTCGGATGTACTACGTCTCATTCCTGCAGCTTCACGCCGCTGATCTCTGAGTTTGTGAGTTTGTGCGGCCGTGGGGCGGAGCTGCTCGGTTGGTAACGGAGAGACAAAGCCGAGGCAACAGCGGACACGGACGGACGCCCTCGCTCGTCTTCACTTCGCGTCTAACGGCTGTTTCCAAATGGCAACGACAGCGGACGACCTGCGGGAACCGGCGGACGTCGCTGCGCTGTCGCCGCACCACGGCTGCCGCCACCACAACAGCAACAACAACAACAACAATAACAACAACAACAAAGACAGCGAGGCGGGCGAGAGCGCGACCTCCGCCACCGCCAGCGCGACGGAGCCCGGCGGGACGGCGTCGCAGAGCATCGGTAACGGCTCAGTCATCAACCCGACCGGCGGGAATAACGGGAAGTGGGTCCGGCTGAACGTCGGCGGCACGGTGTTCCTCACGACGCGGCAGACCCTCCTCAAGGAGCAAACTTCGTTCCTGTACCGGCTGTGCCAACAGCAAGACCTGCACTCAGACACGGTGAGCCCGGTTCCCCGGTGAACCAAAAATAACGATTAACGTGACTTCGTTGTAACGTAAAGGCTTGGTATTATTATTATATGTGTATGTGGCACTCAGCTAGCAGGAGTCAGCCAAGTTAACGCTGACCTTCTTCAACACGGTTGACTTTGGAAACGTGTTTCTAAGTTAAAGTTTTGTTATGACATTTATTATTTTATCTTAATTAGCCTAATATTCCTCTCACACACACACACACACACACACACACACACAGCGGTATTAAAGAGTAACTGTAACGTGTTACCCTCTTTGGTTTTATGTGGGGACAAAGCTGGTGAAAACCCCCCGATAACATTTTATAACATTCCTGTAGTGACTCATGTTGCCCTCAGTAGTGAGTGTACATTGGTGTGTCTTTCACCCCGTGATAACGTGTTACACCCTGACAGGTGGGTAAGGTTTACCAGGTGGGTTAAAGCAGGAGACTTTGGTCTTTTATCTCTTTATTCTGACAGACACAGCGGAGGTATGAAAGCTGTATTTACTCCAACCTGACTACAGGGTTTGGCTAAAATATGTGTGCGGGTCTTGACTTGAAGTAAAGCCTGCTGTTGGCCTTGTTGGTAGAAAAATCAGTAATATACCAAATAGAGACTGAATTGTGAGATAATAATTGCTGAATTGTGCACTATTTCTGTCTCCTGAGGTATCACAGTAGCCTTTAATGGACCTATATATAACTATATAACTGTGTTTTGTGTGTGCAGTTCCCAGAACCTATAACTACAACTCTCTTCTGGTCCTGAAATCTTGTCTAATTACCAGCTGGTGTACTGTATATGAGCAGTATAGCAGTGTATGTGTGCCTCAGCATCGTTTTGTGGTGTGAATGTAGCTTGGGTCAGATGGATGAACACGTGCCTCCTCTTCTGCAGGGAGCTGCACAGTCAGTATCTGTACAGCTGGCATCTTATGGAGAGAGAGAGAGAGAGAGGTGTATTGTGTGTCTTCCAGTCACATGTAGACTGAACACACTGTCAGGGCTGGCAAGTCTCATGAATGATGCAGATTTCTATTATCTTGCGGCCTTTGCTGTGCGTGTGTGTGTGACAGAGAGAGAAGGTGTAGGTCTTCCTCTCAGCCTGGAGTCTAGTTTGAGAAGCTGTAAGAAAACAATAAACATTATACAGCAGTATTCATAGCTGACAATGGCAAAAATATACTCGTCAAATGTAAATATTCTGTCTTTCTCCCACTTTTATAATAGTAAACTGAACATTGGACATCTGAAATATTGCATATGACACCCTCTGTCCTTAGACCTTGACTCGGATAAAGAAAAAACTCCCAGAAAAAACTTAAACAAGGAAAAAATGGCAGAAACAACAGAGCAAGAGAGGAGGGGATCCCTCTTTTGAAAACCAATTCAAGAACATATGGATATAACAGATTGTCTTTTCACTTTAAATGGAATATATAAAGTTAAAGATTAAAAGAAAATGTGTCACATTTCCGCAAAAATCCTATAAAAATCCATTAGTGCTGTAAAACACTGCGGTTGATTTACAGCATCGCCCATAATGGTCTGAATACTGCTGAACCACAGTAGATAACCACACTGCTGGAAGAATATCTGACAGTGAAAACATGTATATAATCTCAAAATATACATTGTCTTCTCGCCAAAAGCCTTATCAGCCCGTGTTAACCGTCCACACCGCGTGGTTTAGTTGTGTTGTCCAGCGGAGGGGCTCAAACATCGTCACATGTCTGTGGCTCGCAGCAGAGCAGGTCTTCCTCCAGCTCAAATGACTAAGCCAAAAAAAACAACCACCAAAATTGGAGTTGGGAGGTTTTTACCCAGCAGCAGTGAGGACTGTTCCCCTGCTGCACCACTCGGCTCTGTGGAAACAATATTCCCATGTGACCTTCAGCCGCGACCCGTCTAGAGCTCCCTCTGCGCTGCCTTAAGACACACAGTCCCACACCAAACCTCTCACACAGGCACAAACACACACCTGCATCTCTTTCCTTCCCTCAGCGCCGCTCTTTCGCCGTCGTCGGCCCGTCCTCTCTCGTCTGCGTCTTTTACTTCGGCTCCTTATCGCTAACTGTTGAATCTGGAGAGACGTAGTGCTGAGCTGTAGGCGAGTCTCTGAGTCCTGCGAGGTGTGACCTATGAACATGATGCTCGGGGAGCGTCAGAGCTGCTTTTCGTCAGGCATCTAACACGGCCACCTGTGTCAGTCTTTAGTGTATATACATTAATGGATGCAACACGAGAAAAAGACTTGATAAGTATAGATTTGATGCCAGATTACCAGAGAGAGACATGCTTCAGTTTTTTTATAAGGGGTTTGTTGAGTTGGTAGTAAAGGTATGTACCTTCGCATTACACGCAGAGATTCAGATTTTTAAGTCGACAATGAAACACCATTTTACGGAGCAACAATATATTTGCAGCTCAGGTCGTCAGATACATGCAGAGCTGCAGTCCAGTAGCCAAAGGAAAATGTAGTTTGGTTCGATAGTCGCATGCTTCTAATTAATTCTGTTGTAAGAGTAATTACAGTAGAAATGTGAAATCACAAGGAAAATGTTTTTAAAATGAGCTTTTATTCAGCGGTTGTTTCCCTCAGAAGCTTCACGGTGAATGCAAACCATGTTTCTTTGAATCAGTAACACCCACTGAGTTTAGCAGCTGGGAATGCACACAAGCATGAACGATACAACAGACTGGATGCACAGTTAACCGGGGGGGAAAATCTCATTCATTAAATTATCATTTTCCAAGTTAATTCAGTTTATTCCTCTCAGCTTGTCAAACTAGCAAAGATGTATAATAATAATAATACATTTTATTTAAAAAGCGCTTTTCTGAATACTCAAAGACACTGTACAATATAATAAAAGAAGAATACAAGAACATCAATAGGTAAAAGACAATTATGAAACAGTACATTACATACGTTAAAAAACACGTTAGACTCTTTAAAAAGGTGTGTTTTTGTCAGTGATTTGAATGGCGGAGGGTCGGTGCAGTCACGGATGGGTTTGGGGAGAGAGTTCCAGAGGGAGGGGCACCATGAACGCTACAAGTACAAGCTACGTTGAGCATATCGTAACATCAGCTGACTACAAATCATCAGACCCCTGCAGATAGCCCTGTAACGGTACCTACATAACGGTAATGGTGCGAGTATTGGCAGGTCACTCTGCAGATGATATTGCACAGTTTTTCTGCTATCTATACACCACGGGGGTTTCAACACAAGTAGTGTTCAGAGTGTTTTTGAGAATTGATACGATATCACAAAACAAAATACCGCGATACTGGAAAGTGTGTCGATATTTTCTTACGGAATAAATCCACTGAACCCAATGCAATAATGCCGGCTCCTCAATCAGTTGAGCCAGCTAAAATGTTTTTCCCAGGCAGACTACCAGGCGAAAGCAGCCTCTGCTCGGGTTGTTAGTACACAGGAGAAGCAGTTCAGC